CTTGTCATACAGATGTGTCTGCTGTGGCCTGAGCACTTTGGCCTTTTTTTGAGAATATAACACTTCTAAGCTTAAAAAACATCTGTTAATCCAGTCAGCTAAAACCTGCTTCTTGTGATATTGAACTGGTTAATTTAATGCACAGAATCACCTGACATTACTATATATTTATTGATACACTTTTTGTTGTAAATAAACTGCAATAGGTGCAAAATTACAATGGCTAGGCTACTTGGAGGCATCCCCTTGAATGGTAACCAAATTTTATCCAGGTAAAGCCACACTGGGAATGGACATTGCTATTGTTTCAGACATTTACAAACAAGTTTCGCTGTAATGAAGTTAATCAGTAAACTATATAACCTCTGGCCTGTGTCACTCCTTTGCTAGTCTTAAAGAAAGTTCTCACAGTAAAGAAGTCAACAGGATACAGACAAAGCAGAATTAAGAAGTTTTATTTATACATAGTCTTTAGGGGAAAAAAGAAAAAGAGAGGGAAAGGAGGACTGAGTACCTTAAGGAGAGTATTTGTCTTCAAGAAATGGTCAGACCGAAGACAGCCTAAGGTAGGATATTGTCGTGTTCTTGCTTGGACATGTTTGTCATCTGATCTTGTATTCTTCCTTGAAACTTTAGGATGCTAGAAGGTTGTTTAAACCAAATGATCTTTAAAGATCTACAAATAATTTGTTTAGAGTTAAATCAGGATTTCATTAATGGTTATGTTACAATTTCCAAATTACTTAATCCTGAATTTTGTTCTTATATTTTTAAGTTCCTTCATGAATATCCTATGGAGAGACGGAGGTTCATATTTTAAACCTGCTTAGAATTCTTTTCCCTTTAATTAGCTTTATATTAATGGAACAATAACTTTTACATTGAAACGTGATCTCATTGTAATTTCTGTAATATTCTGAAAAAAACGTGTTATTCTTTGATATGCACGTAACCTCAATATAATTCTACAAATTGAAAATACTTTCTTTAATTCCTACAAAGAAAATTGCCTCTCATTCTACAAGCAGTTAAACCTATGTCAAGTATTTTTTCAAGTCTTATGTAAAATATTCTGTGTAAAATTTAAAGGAACAAAAGCAAAACTCTCCAATGGGTTTCAGTTGCAAGTGGTATTGTGGAAAAATATCTGTTAAAATGATGACCATATGGATGTGAAGGTTTCACTTCGATATTGGTAAGCTTTCCAGATTTCTGTAAAATTTGCAAAACATAATCTAGAAGATCTACAGCTATAAGTAACATCACATTTGTGTGTGCTTAAGTAGTCTTTCTTTGAAGATGTAAAAAGTATGTTTCCAAAAGGAAAAACAGATAAACGTTTCAAAATAGTTAAGGCCACACAAACATTAAATATTGATGTATTCCAGTGAGCTTGTTTCTGATTTCACTTTCACTACTTTATACTACTTCAACTCCAGCAATTTCAGTGGGCTGGCTCATGCCTTTCAGTGGCAGGAGACCAGCCTATCTCAGACTTCTACAAATATCTGCATAAAAGCATATGTACATTCCGGTTGGCAAGATAAGATTAGTTTTCTTTTGTGATAAGAAATGATTTGTTCTAGACTCTCATGTACTTTGCAAAGCATAATTCCAAAAAATCAGCGTGGTTTTCAAATATCACACAGAACAGAGCAGTGCACCGTATGTGTCTGAAAGCAGAACCCCTTCAGCTTTTGTAGGAAGCCTCGTGCACGCAGAGGGCTGGGGAACGCAGCTCAGACCACGTTTTCTGGATCAGGTCATAAAAATAATTTGTCCCACTAATTTCAAGGCATCTAGTTTCTATATCAACCTCACCACTTGTTTCAAGTTTTTAAGATTATATTTCTGAGTAAAAGGACATTTCAACAAAAAAACTGATTCATTTTGAAATCATCTTTAGGGAACACCTCCACAGTTTTAAACAATTATTTTTAGGAATTATTTTAGATCACTAATGCTTTGGAGCAGACTATTTCTTGCAATGTTTAATTCTAGACTCATTAACAATTTTGTGGAAAAAAAAAAAAATTGACAACTGTTTTTGATCTGATCTGGATAGAGAATGGTGTCTCACTGAGTCAGCCCAAGTTAGCTGATATCTAAGGATGAAATACAGATACCCACCAAGCCCTTCAAACAGGTCTACCTAAAAAAAAAAAAAAAAAAAAGAAAAAAAAAAAACACCTTTAAGCTCAAGTGGGAAAACCTACATAGTTACAACCTAATTATCTCTAAAAATCAGTCTGGTCTTCATAACTGTAGTATCCGAGCACTTCCCAGAGTTTTAGCTGTAAACTTGTTTTACATAAAACAAGACCATGTTCTCTCAGTCTCTCTCTCGACCCTGCCTGTTCTCCCTCTTCCTTTCCATTGCTCTGAGCATGGACTCAATTCAGCTAAATTGTACAACATGTGCCTGACACAGAAGAAAAAAGAAGGAGATACAGGCTGGTTGGGTTTTTCCCCTGTATTTAACTTTATACATTAAGACTCAGATTTTTTTGTTTCCTCCAGAAGTAGAGTAGAATTAATGATTGTTAAGATCTTTCTAAACATATCTGTAACCTAAATGAATCTACAGTGGTTTAAACACCCAATATTGTCTCAACATGTGCTGCAATTTTTTAGCAGTCCTGAATTTTTTAACAAGCCCTGAGATTATTTTTTTGCTGTGGAAGGAGTGTTGCCTTCTCTTCTTGTTCTTTCAGAGGCCCAAACAGTTCAGGAGGCTGGTATAGAGCTTTTGTGGAATTTCCTGTGGATGGCATAAAATTAAAAATCAAGTTTCTTCCTTCTCATTTTGGGATCGTCCCACTTTCCTTTAGCAAACTCAATCATCTAAGTAATTGCTAACTAGCAAATGACAATTTAGGTCTCCATGGTGAACAGATTCCTTTCCAAAAAGAGACTGAATGATTTGTATAACGATTGTGTATCTCACAATTAACACCAGTTTTTGTATCTGAAGTACCTTGACCAGTCTTAATGAACAGCAGTCTCAACAAATGGCAAATATAATTAAACAAAGACCACCCACTCATTAAACCTATATTGAACAATAAAGGTCAGCATCAAATCATTGCTATCCTTACCCTTACAGGTTTTGTCAGCTCTGCAGCTGGCAGGTATCAGTGACAGTTTGCATTTGAGGCATGAAGCTGTAACGTCACCTCCAGGCTCTTCCATAGAGTCCCCAGATGCCTGTATATTGTCTCAGATCTCTGTATGTCTATGTTCTTTATTTAAAGGGCATAAACTTGTGTTTGGGGAGTGCCTTCTGCTATTCTGCTTCTCCTAGTGTAGTACTCAGGGCCTTGGCTTCTTCTGGAGCAACTAAATGCAACCATAATTAAAGTAATTGTTAATAGTAAATGGCACCATTTTTCTCATTTGGTTTTGTGTCACATTTTTCCAGATATACATCTTGCTGCTTATTCATGAACTGGGACTTCAACATTTGGTATTGGCAAGATGCGCTGTGGACAGTACAGCAATCACATAAATCCAAAACACTTGTATGGCTCCTGCAGCATGGTAAAGTAGTAAAGTAGGAAGGGCAGAAGGCTGCAGAGCAAGAGCATGAGACCCTGAAAGTGAAAAAGTAGGTGAAATGAAAAGGTTAGTTTCTGGCACTAACTGAAGTGAGACAAAGGAGAGGGAAGAAAGATTTTTATTCTTTGTTTTCATTACAGATGTTCGCTCTTCTTAACTGTTAGCATTTCTTCATTGCTTCTCATTCCTCAGAAGTGAAGGAGACTTGCCAGGGAACCGATTTTATGTCAGCAAAAATGTTTTTGGAGTGCTTCTGAAGCACTGTTAAGTAATGGTCACCAATGAACATTAATCTATGATTTCCTTGTAAATACTGCTGTTGACTCCAACAAAAGTGGGACTCAACATCTTCCTGGAAATATGCACTATTTTTCTCAGATTCTCTTCTTGGAACTAATGAAGGAATTGTGTCACTGTTTTCGTGAAACAGCAAGATGTGGCTTTCTCCAACAGAAAATATGAAATAGTTTGCAAATAACTTCTAAATTACTCTTTTCAGCTGGTTGACATGGGCTTGATTTTAATTGCACCATCCAAAGACTGCTAGATGTTGTTGTACTTGTAGTACAGAAAAAAAGAGACTTAAGTTGTTTGCTTTTTTAAACCTGGCAATGGGCAAAGTTAAGGTAGCCTCCAGATACTGTGTCAATCCCAACAGGAAAGGTTGCCATTCCTTGTACCACTGCCAGGTTTGTTGTTGGCTCAGAGGTGCTTCACATGAGAACCACACAACTGCAGTGAGCGTCACAGGCTCGTAGGGGCTGGGGACCAGGCTGCAGAGGCTGGCTGGGTGGCCACTGGAGGCTGGATGGCAAGAAGGCTACATTTCACCACTTATATTAGGGAATATCTTCCCTGCTCCTTCACAGTAACCCCACTTTTCCCTTTCAGGCTCTTCTAAAAGGTGTACTTCATATTCTTAGTCTTCTAGTTAAGCCTCACTCTTGTTGTCTCTCCCTAGTGCAATTTTTCCCTATCATGACATATTCATTCAGCATTAAACAGAAATTAACAGGATGTTTGAGTCTTGATCTAACTTTCACCAATGCCATCAGATTTTTGGCTTTTGTTTGGATTTCTTTTATTCTGCTGTGGGACCTAATTCGGGTTGCTAGCTTCTCTGTGGTGTGGATTGCTCTTTCTTGTAAACTGAACATTTATACAATTAGCTGCATGGTATGTTTAAAGATTTTTTTTATGTACGTGCCAGCGCCAGACATTTCCACCAATAATAAAGGAGAGGCTGAGAATGACTAAGTTACTTTTAAAGTATCTTGCAATGTATTTGTGTAGGACCAGGACCACAGCAAATCTAAGCTCAGATAATGCAATCTTTATGATTATGCCTTGTTTTTGAGATGGATGTCTGGAAGTGGAAGCTTCTCTGACAACTACAGTTTCATAGTAGTAATAGAAATTGTTTTTGCATTATTATTTTCCAGGTGTCCTTTCAGAGCCAATGAGTTCTCCAGTGCAAGAGGTAGATGTGTCACCTTACACACAGTACAACAGTGTGCCATTTCCTCAAGTTCAGCCTCAGATTTCATCGCCGCCTTATTACTCCAACGTAGGCTTCTACCCTCCGCAGCATGAAGAATGGTATTCCCCCGGGATGTACGAGCTCAGGAGAATACCCTCAGAGACCTTTTTCACAAGGGAGACAGAGATAATGGATATCCCTGCAGCCAAAAAGCCTAGACTGGGTCACTCCACAGGAAGAGTGAAAGGAGAAGAGCTCTGTGTGGTCTGTGGTGACAAAGCCTCTGGGTACCACTACAATGCTCTTACTTGTGAAGGATGCAAAGGTAGGATGAAATCAATTACAGAATACAATTCAGCTAATAAGCACAGCAGTTTCTGAATTTTTATTTTTTCTTTCTTGTTAATTTTCTCTGAATCATTAATCATTTTAGAGATTTAAGTTTGTATCTGGTGTAGGCTATACTGTATTTTCCCAAGACAGATTGGCAGTGTCTTCCACCATTGGCCTGTGAATATAGAGCACGGGTGGCCAACCTGGGGCTCTTAAGCCTTCCTTAGCTCTTGGTAAACTGAAGAACAGTTTCCATGTGGGGGCCTGGCAGCCTGGCTCCACTGTCTTGGCAGTTGCTGATGCTGATCTGTGCCTGTGGAAGGAACCAGCCTGTGGAAGGAACCAACCCATGTAGGCCCCTGGGAGTTTAGTGCTAGGCTGCCCTAGAAATCAGCTGTGAACCCAGCCCAAATGCCTCCTGTAGTGCACATTGAAAGGACGTGAAAGCTGTCAGCTCCTACCTGCAGACTGTTCCCACAGAACTTCTTTCCCTCAGCTCCCAAAGGATATGGTGGGTGCCTTCAGGTTTGTGAAAGGAAAGGATTTCTAATTCTAAACTTGCTTCTTAGGGATAGCCCCTATTCCTAGGGAGGGAGCTTCTTCAGGAAACAGGTGGTATCTGTAGGATAAATATCTTGGTTCTTAGGAGAACAGTATTCACAAGTTGGTGTCAGGATAAATGGGATATAGAAAATCATTGGCATTATTAGAAACATGATGGCTAGATATTTTAGCAGAGAGGAACAAAAAAGTTATGCTGATGGAAGAACTATTATACCTAAAGATGGTTACTTTGTCACAGGGCTGAGGTACATTATAGAAAGAAAAATAATGCCCCAGTTTTTCATTCTATTCTGTGAATAAATATTTCATTATTATTTCTGTTCTATGGATAAAGGCTAAAGCATGGACATTACTGAAGCACTAAAATATCTTAATGTGGAGCCCACTGTCACTGAGAGTGGCCTTTGAACTAATTGGGGTGTTTTGCTTTATCTATTACAAATTCATTTCTGAGGGCAAAACAGACCACACTGGTCAACCACTCTAAGCATGAATACAGTCAAGGGTCATATAATTTACCTCAATAATTCCAATAAATAAGAGATTTGTTTCTTTCTGCTGTCTGTGTGAATAGTCTCAAAGTCAAAAAATATGAATTAACTCATATGAATGCTGTCATTATAAACCAGATTAAACTCAATTTTAATGTGAAGATTCAAGTAATTATATATTTACTCTGTTAGTAAGCTATTCCTGATTAACTTCATTATTAAACGTCTTAGTAATTTTTCAAAGACGTACATTTAAAAACTACGGAATTTGTAAAGAATGTTTCTAGGACAGAGATTAAAACCACCAGGTAAATACTCAGACTAAAACCCATGGTGAAAGGAAATATACATTCATCTCTCTACTGATTCAGTTTGAATCACTCTATGTAGCCATAATTTTACTGCTTTATTGGGATAATGTATTTTATGTTTTCACTGTGTTTCATGACTGCAACATCAATTACAAAGAATAGTACTCGTGATCAAACATAGTAAAAGTTGATTTAAAGATAATGCATTCTGTTTCTACAATAAACTTTAGAGGCAATTAAAGTACCAGCTGATTCAGTAAAAAGATGTGCTGAGGATAGTAATTCTGTTTGACAAGGTGAAGAGCACACTATGTTTTCTAGGCCTCTGATCATTCTTGCCTATCTGTGGAATTTTTCACATAGGTATACATCACCCTCAAAGCATGGTGACCAAAACTGGGCTCAGTACTTCTGTTGTGCTCTTATCAATGCAGCAGAAGAACTACCTCACGTATCTCATATCCAAGTATGAGATTAGCACTTCTTTTTGGCGACAGGACTGTTAATTCATGCTCAGTGTGTGTCCAAAGTAATATGCAGATCCCTTTCTGCAGGACTACTGCTCACCTTGCAGCACCCCTGCTCCATTGATGCTGTGGACATTCCTATTCAAAGGGGCATGCTTTGCGCATATTTTCATGGGATTCAATCCGCTGTGATGAATATATTAATTTTTTTTTTTTTTCATTTCTTTCTTGGGTAATGCATTCAGCAACGTCTTCCATTTTTTTGTTTTTCTTTCTTGGGCAGAAGGAACAAAGATTAAGATCTTATTTGTCATCCCTCATGAGAATATTACTCTAAAGATATGGGCAGCAGTATACACTCCTATATATTTTTTAATACATTACCATCCATTAACAAATAAGTATGAATGATTTCATTAATAGTTTATGCAAAAGCAGAATAAACAGAACATTTGCTCTCATACAACATTTGTCTGTGGTACTATAATAAAAAAGAAAAAGCTTCCTTGAGGTTTCTCTCACCTTTAATATATCACTTTAGAAAATGCTGCCTTGATTAACAATAATAGCATCACAGTTGTGGTCCATAAAGGATGAGGCAGTTCACAGGCATTGCTACAGTATAGCGACCAATATGCAATGCTTTAAAGCCTGCTGTTGTAGATGTCATTTCTGAGACAACCTTTGCAGAAAGACATCAAAGATTTTTGGTATAGCCTTTGTCTGTATAGTGATACTGCTTTTTAAGGGCCATTTTCAGGTGTTGCAGAACAAGTGGGACATAGTATCATGCTTGTTCGATAAATAAGTTCTGCTGAGAGAAAAGCTAGTTGTGAATTCCCTCTGCACAGGCTGGCGGTATGAGTTTCTGCAGTCTTCAGACCACTACTGATAATCCTTGATGTCACGTCAAGCCAGACTGAGAATACCTCCTGCAAAGAAGGGTCCCACTTTAATCTTCTCCTCGCGCTAACACCCACCACATGGGCATGGGGAGAACGAACACTGTAGCATGGCTTGACAGAGCAAAGCAGGTGCTTTGCTAGCAATTATGAACTTCAAAAACTTTTAAATTGAAAAACCCAAAGCCGTTGGCCATCAGGATGGCAAACGCAGATATTTACAAAGCTTTAATCTACACTTTTAACAGCTGTCCTCATTCAGCGTTCATAATTTCCATAGAAAAATCAGCATCAGTAGCACTGGATCAGCTCTAGCCATAATTAGTCATATTCATGACCAGCTAAGAGAACAAAGCAAATTCAACATTTCCAGCCAACATGAGCTTTTTGTAATTTGGTAAGATCAGATAAAAGTTAGACTGTGCCAGAACAACCTTCAGCTTTTGGGGCTGCCCCATCACTGGTTTAACAGATAACATTTCTGAATTACCTCTGAATTTTTGTTAAACTCCTCCTGTTATAGAAGGTCACACATAAAATATTTTGGGCAGTTTAAGTTAATTTTGAATTATTAGTGAATAATATATAGAGAAATTCCATTCATATCAAAAAGCTAATTTCAAAATTAATTATGAAGAAGTCTGTTCAAGACGACGATGATTCAAGAGTCACTTCATGATAAAACTAAAGTGAGAGTAGGGTTAAAACTACTTTTTGCCAAAAGATATTTCACTTTTTATTTCACATAATTCATTTTTTAAAAAACTTTGTTTTCAAGAGAAAATATTTGACTGCTTGAATTTTATCAGCTCCTACCTTTTTGCATCCCTAGTTTTGTGTTTGTCTTTCACATTCTTACAAACTTCTAAAAAATTCATTTACTAAAGTTCTTTTTATTTGCTCTTCCATGAAAAAGCAAACACACATTTTGTGGACAGAGTGAGCGATAAAGTCATCAATCACAGTTAGAATGTCATAAATACTTGTGCAGAACTTTTCAACATTTACTACTAATTAATGTCATGAATTACAGGATTTAAATTAAACAAATAAAATTTATAAATTATGTAAAGCAGATGCAGTTGCCTTTAACTGACACTGAGAACCAACAGCTTAAATCCAGGCCTTTTTCTCCCTTCCCTTCCCAGTAAATGGTAATGTATTAAACACCACGTGAATGATGAATAAAAATAATGCCTGGGGCTGCTGGAGGTTCTAAGCAATCTGCATTTCAAAAGAGACTGATGCCAGTCAAGTGTATTTATCTGAAAAGAAGCCAGTAAAACAGACAGCATGGAAGAGATTTCAAGCAGGAAATACAGCAGATTCAGAGAAATGTCAGATTTTTTGTGACCAGATAGTGGAATTGTTTTACTGGTAGCTACACATTGGTGCTTGGAAGAGATTATGCAATTATAAAAACATGGGCCGAAGTTGAGAAATTGTCATCTGACAATGGCAAAATCATCACATCATCTGTTTTCTTGCCTAGATTCAGTGGGATGGTATCTTAGCTCAATGCATTCTGAAAACACACAGATAAATCCTGCAATGGACAACAATTCAGATTCACATCTGAATTTTCCCTATGATTTGAGTATGGGAGACTGGGTCTTATCTGATGCCTCTCTCAGTGCATCAAAGTGCCACACTGGAAAACAATGGTGTTTTTATTGTGCCAGCCAGTGGCAATGAGAAAGCAAAAGGTTTGTGAATAACTCTGGTTAATGTAAATTTACACAGAGCTCTAGTTTGAAGTACACTATAAATCAGTGATACGCCAGCAGAAGCTCCCAAGAGTCTATTTGAGAAACATGCCCTCAGATGGGGAGGAGAACTGAGCTTCCTTCCTATGCTAGAGAGACTTAATTCCCTCTGTAGTTGATGCTAAATAGTCTCTGCCATATGAAGGACAATGTAAAGAGATTGTGATGGCACAGTGAGTCACAGTAAAAATTCAGGAAACATTCAGGTCTTGATTGGCAGCAACGACTCTGTTGATTTGTGATGACTTTTTTATTCAATTACATTTCATATCTTGAGCACTCCTCATTTTGCCTATGGTGCCACTCTCAGAGGTGTGATAGGCAGCGGCCAAACAGGAGACTCAGACAGACTGAGGAAAGGTCCTCTCGATTTCTTGGATCAGTTGCTGTTTGCAGTTACCACCGTGATACTTTGGAGTGAATCCAGTGTGATACCAATAGAACTGCCTGTGCAGGTGAAATTAGGTGACTGCTTAACTCATTAGGTGGCCAATATTTAGTGAATGAGGCTGGAGTATCCTACAAATGGGAGAGGAGGCCACATGTACAATAGGAAGATACGATGCAGCTTCCTTATTAAACTTGGGGGTGGGCAAGCAGTCCAGTACGTGCAGCTTCTGCAGCTCCCAGGAGCTGAGGGAACTGTGATGAGTTACTCAACTCTCTTTCTGTGAATCCTGTACCTCAAGTGACTTAACAGACATATTTTTTCACGGGCTATTTGGATGGTATCAGCCTACAGTTCTAGTGCTGGTGCTCAACCTGCTCCTGGCAGGTTTCAGATATGGGTCTGAATTTTCCCAACATTCACAGTTCCAGGACCTTACTTTGGGCTACTGTCTAATGTTTGGGCACATGATTTATCATGTCGATTTATTAAATTATATTACTTGAATACTATTCTCAGTACAAATATCAAGAATATAGTCATCCAGGCACTGAAAGAAACTCACAGTGCAGCAGAACATGTGTTATTCAGAAAACCCAATGGAGACGGAGGTGCTCCTCAACTTGACTACTTTGCTTCTTTGAGTGTTTTCTTTTATCTATGTCACTGCTGTGTTGTGCAGGGTTCTTCAGAAGAAGCGTCACAAAAAATGCAGTATACAAGTGTAAAAATGGAGGCAACTGCGAGATGGACATGTACATGAGGAGAAAATGCCAGGAGTGCCGCCTAAGGAAATGCAAGCAAATGGGCATGTTGGCTGAATGTATGTATACAGGTATTTGCATCATACAGTCAGAGTGTGCAGAGAATGCATCAAATACTGTATTTGTTTAATTGGGCTGGTTTTAATGATAAAGCTATAAAAGATGTCACCTGGCAGGTGGAAGGCACATTAAAGATGATGCTGTTTCTGTGCATCAAATCCTGTTGAAAAAGGCAAATGCACTTATAAGCAACAGGTTTTAGTTGGTGGTCAGGGACACAAGGGTATAAGAGCTGAGCAAATTGTGAAGGAGGGGCTGTCCTGCACTAGGTGACAGCCATTAGTCTGCTTGAGCAGGAAGAAAAAGCAGTTGGGGGAAGCAAATCTATGGGAGGCTCCCCAGGAGTGAGGCGTTTGCAGTGTTGTGGAAGCCAGAGCAGGAAAGCCCTGGCGCTTCCCTTTGCTACTCTTTTTGGGGCTCTCCCTGTCAAGTTCTTGCTAGCCAAGTCCAAATTTTGGCATTCAAACAATGACATTTTCAAGAAAAGAGGAGGACTGCCGCTAGCAGGAAGTGTCTGTGGACTTGCCAAGTCTGTGTTCCCAGACCTCACCCAGCAATCAGGCAAAGCCTGCTGAGGGCTAGCCCTTTTTTATAGTCTCATTAGCTTTTCTCATGGCGCTTAGATTTTCCTGCTTTGCATATAGGCACATAGGTAGAACCGTCTCCAGAAATTAAGCTGATGGACTTTAATAATGTTTCATATTAAAGCAAATACGCTGTTCAGACTGACAGCTTATAAACTTCATTGAACTTCACATTGGATAACTTAGAACAACAGGGATATTGGAGTGCAACTTTAAACACGTTTAAAACTCCATTTTCAGTAAAATGTTGGCCAATCAATTATTTTTGCAAACTTGCTCCTGTAAACATCTGTCTGTAAACATCTGCTCTTCTGCCTTCCATGAACAGGGCTACAATTTATTTTTCTTGATGGCTCCAATCATTTTAGCATACACGTATGTGTGAAACCAATTGAGGTTCATACAGGAAATTAATCTACTTGGAATTTTTAATATACTTCTATCCCTCAATCTGATCAGAAGATGCTATATTAACTGTTGGTTTTGTGAGAAACAATAAGCTCCATCAATATTTGGAATGCATTGCCAGCATAATGTAATTAATCTTTCATTCTGCAAATTGAACAGGCTACAAAGATCCTGAGATATGACATATTCTCGTGCAGCACGTAAATATATGAGCAGACACCACCACTTGATGACAGCACTCCATGTATCCCTAAGTGCCAGGGGAAAATAACTCCCCTGTGGTGCTGATCCCAGATCCATTGTTCCAAAATTTTAAGGGCTCAAAATAGCCTGAGTGACTCAGTACGACAGAAAAACAACTCATCATCGAAAAAAATAGGTCAGCGTAAATAATACTGACTGGGCCCACATGAAACTTTTAAACTGGCCTATCGTTTTCACAAACTGGCGTATGTGAAATAAAAGCCAGCGAGTGCCGCTGCCATCTGACTCTCTCTCTGCAATGGAAACACTGGGTATCTTGTGTTGCTCATGACTTAACCATAACCATGCTCTAATGCACTGCAATGAGGACGTTTGGCAAGGTCCCATTTAATGGCTTTTAAGTAGGATTGTGCTGTATAATTGCTTTTAGTTCAAGGCAATCCAGGACAGTAAAACACAAAGCTTCTAGTAGTATAGAGCATTTATTTGGAAAAAAAAAGACTAGGAAATAAGAGGTTACCTTGAACTTTGTTTCACTTACTCATTTTGTAGGACTGTAATTGCAAGATCTGTGGATTCTTTTTCCCTCTGAACAAGGATGGGAAGTCTTACAAACATTTATGGCACGGCTACTCAACAATCTTAATCCTGCCCTTTATACATAAATCACAGACAGATCAAAATTACTGACCATGAATTTCAGTCATTTGCTGTGCTTTTGATAGAAACTGAAGTTTCTTGGGTGAAATGTCTACCTACGGAAGACCTAGGTTCTGCCACTCTTCCTGGAAGGTAATACACATTTAATACCCATTGAAACCTAGCTATCTCTGAGGTAAAAAGTAAAGTCCTGTCTTTCACGTGAATTTTCCAGCTAACTTAAATGGAGCCAGAATAAGATGTCAAGGTACTACTCAGTAACAGGAAGCATGAGAAAAATCTGTCTTACTGCTTAAGGCAAATGTAAACCAAATTTTCCCTAGGAAGGTAGTAGACCAGATTCTAAGCTGGTGGAAAACAGTACAAGCCCATTAACACCGCCAAAGGATGCACTGAATAATTTAGAAAAAGAAATCTACGATGCTGTGTGGCAGCACAAATTACATGGCTCGATACCAATTATTATCTCCATCATTTCTATTCCCCCCTTTCAAGGTATTATTTGCAGGTCTTATTTTAATCATGTAAATTTCCTCTTCTCTCAGAGGTTCAGGTAGGTTATTTTATATAGTGCTTAAACAGGAAATTAAAAACATTCACAACGAAATTCACTGTTTTCATGGTATCTTCCTCCACTATCATATACTCACTGAATGTGCCTCTTTTCCTTCTCTGCATTTTCAAAGGTGAAGAATGGGAAGGATACTTGAAAGAAATTAAAAAAAAAAAAAAAGGCAAGAAAGAAAGAAAGAAAGAAAGAAAGAAAGAAAAAGTCCTGTGCTGATAGGTTTATTTTTAGATGAATATTTAGCTGTTTACTTTTTCATTTGTGCTTTCTGGCTGTCTTCCACAGGTTGTGTACGGTACCTATTGTCTCTTTCTTTTGTTAGCACAAGCAAATTGCTAGTTTTTATGACATCCACACAAGGATGCTCCCTGGTTCAAGGTACTGAAATGTAGTCTAGAACCAAAAAAAAAAACCCACAAATGCAAAAATCCTTTCATTAGGGCAAGTGAACCTCTGTAGTAAAACCAGGGCTTTATTCAGTCCTCTAATATAATGAAATGCAAAATAGCAAGACCAACCAGGTAACATTTTAAATAAATACATTTTTCAGGTACATTTGCCAGCCTGAGTTACTTCTGAGCCCACATTTTCAGCTGTTGGTCTGTATAGTGACACTGTAATGGCTAAAGCCCTGGAGTCGTCCCTTCTGAGAGGGCGTTCTGTGCGAAGATTCTGCACTACAGCCATAATATTGCTTAAAGATTATTGAAAACATTCACTGTTCTTTGTGTAAGAACAGCTGTACCTTTGTTACTGTTTTGGATTGGATGAGGAGCACACTTTTGATGACAGTCTTTCAATTGTCTCCATTTATTGCACTCTGGTTCAGGTATTGGAGCACATGAAGGGGTTTTCTTCTGGCTGAAACTAAACCAAAGACACACTCCAGAGCACTCATGTCACTAATGGGTCTTCTGTCTGTAAGACCAGATTAGAGCTGGTCCAAAGCAAGACTCCTGACATGCACACTGTGTGGATGCTGGGTCACCAGAACCGTTTTGCTCTGCAGATGGGCTCCTTCTGGGCTAGACTACTCAGTGTGTGCTTAGTATGTCTCATTAGTCTCACATCCAAAGATATGATGTTCAGGAAATGACCTGCACAGGTAAGTGGGTTTGTTAGTGTAAAGGGCATTCATGGGCATGTTTATGCACCTATTGAGTGTCTGAGGCATATGTAAATCCAATTGCTATCTGCTGCATTATGTGTTCTAGGTCTGTTAACAGAAATACAATGCAAGTCAAAAAGGCTACGGAAAAATGTGAAACAGCCCCCAGATCAGACAGTCAATGAAGATAACGAAGGCCATGACATGAAACAAGTGACATCTACAACTAAAATATATAGGGTAAGAAAATTCTTGTAATAGTTCGTACGGTAGTGGTGATGTTTGAGCTAAATGTGGGTAGTACAGTGAATACGGAGTACTTGCAATCTCTCTGGAGCTGTCTATATTAATTAAAACTCCATCTCCCACCAAGTCAAGAAAATACCTTGAGTATAGAAGCAGTTCTGATATTTTTAGTCAAAACTCAGTAAAGCATCCATAAAATCCATATTCTGTGATACATATGTCAGGTATATATCACATACGGTGAGGTGTGATATTAAAGTTTGAGCATACCTAGTTATTTGCTAAACATTTCCTTATTTCTAGTAACAAACCACACAAACTCACGCAGTTTAGAAGCATTATACACCTCTCTTCTGTACATTACTATAGAAATCTCAGTGACAAGCAAACCTCTTGTCTGCTTGATCTCCAAGTACGAGAAATAGATATATAGCTTTTGCCTAAAGCAAGACATGCTAGATCATTTCTATGACTGCATTTCATGATGGGCTTTTTTTTTTGTCAGTATAGGAGAAAGTAGAATTTACCCCAGAACAGCAGAACCTTCTTGATTACATCATGGATTCATACAGTAAACAACAAATACCACAGGAGGTGTCAAAAAAGCTAGTAAGTACATTGATTAATTCATTTTTGAGATGAGGATGACAAAGCTGAGGATTACACAGCAGAAAATATTTGTACTCAGCATAATTAGGTGTAGTAAGTAGTAGAGCAAACTATGGGTAAAAGCTTACAGTTAAAACATGCTGCAAGGGGGGCAGAATCTCTCCCATTCAGTCAACAGATAGACCACATCTTTGTTTATCAAACTTAAATGCCAAGAAAAAGCTTTCAACTCTGGAAATACACTTTTATGCTCAAATCTAACCTTTGCTGATTGGAGCTTTGTTTTTTGCATTGTCAGTATAGGCAGTGATTTGAGTTTGACTTGCAGTCAAGCTTCCTTTCTATAAAGATACCAGCCTGGAATCTTGAAAATATTTCATTTTTTGGAACCCCAATTCCCAACATTTTCCAGGTTTGGATTTTTGTTTCATCCCCTCTTCTTCCCTTTTCCTCTCTACCTTCTAGAAATTCCATTTTCCCTTTAAGAGCTCCCAGTTTTCATGGTAGGATGGAAAAAGGTTGGGAAACAGGGAGAAGAGGAAAAAAGAGTTTAAGAGAGATATAATTTTTTTTACAAAACTGTCATGTTCAATCTTAAAAAAAAAAAACAAAACCAAAACAACTGCAGAAAATTATTTCCTAAGTCATCAACTTTGAAAACTAATCATGGAATCATAGAATACCAGGTTGGAAGGGACCTCAAGGATCAGCTGGTCCAACCTTTCTAGCACAATCTAGATGAGATGGCCCAGCACCATGTCCAGCTGAGTCTTAAACGTGTTCAGTGGAGCGGAGTCAACCACTTCCCTGGGGAGATTATTCCAATGATTGACTGTTCTCATTGTGAAAAATTTACCTCTCGTGTCCAATCGGAATCTCCCTGGGAGTAACTTGTACCCATTA